AGGCTTAAGCTTAGGCTTCGGTTTAGGCTTAGGCTTAGGCTTAGGCTTAGGCTTAGGCTTCGGTTTAGGCTTAGCCTTAGGCTTAGGCTTAAGCTTAGAGTTAGGCTTAGATCCAGGTCTAGGCTTAGACTTAGGGTTAGGCTTTGGTTTAGGGCCGGGCCCAAGAAGTCGAAGGTGAAGGCCGAGGCTTAGGTTTTCCGTGGATTGAGGTTCGTTACCAGGTTAAAGGTAGACTAGAATCTCGTTCAAAAAATAGGATCGTGACCGGGAATTCGGGCTCTTTGCCGCAGGACGCCCGGACCCTTCTTATCGCCCTCTCCTCTCCCCGCTCTAGTCGGTCCCATGGCCGCATGCTTATGGCGCTCGCCCCATGCGAGTAGCCCAGGTTCGGTTTTGCCCCGCGGCGAGCGCCCACCGTACTCCTGTTTTCTACGCCGCGGACAGTTACCGGCCGGTAACCAAACCAACGAGACTTTACTGTACCCTGTAGTTAGAGTGTTTCGTTGCCTTAAATCTGCGCAATCTTTTATTAACACATGTAAATTCAATTAACAAGGGGGAAGACCAAAACAGGGGTAGCCGGCACAAGGCCGGCTACCACGGAATGCTTGAAACAAAGTGGTGTATGTTGGGCATCACCGCGATTGGTTTTCGTTCCAAGAAAAAGTCGGCGCCGTTGATGGTAGCCTCCATGCGCACACGCAGTACGGCGCCATCCTCACGGGTGTTCACCCATTTCCGATAGCCTTTTGATTTGCCAAGGGATGGATTCCACGTAGGATTTGCATCCGTGCACAAGCCGCAGCTAATCTGGACTATTTCAATCTCACGCACGCCGGTCAGCCAATCAGCGATGAGACCTTGCACCAGCTCGTGGATGCGCTTCCAGGCTTGATTGTTGATACGAAGAATGAAGCGTGGATGTTGAATCGACATTCCCTCCTTAAAAACAATACTGTTATATTTCGAGCGGATGAAAAAATTTAGGATTTTGATGCTCTATCAAATCGTGTCTTCAAAATATCAAAAACTAGCGAAAATATCGAAATCTAGCTTGCCGGCCCTAGTTTCAAAAGTAATTTTCTTGTTCTATTTCAATATTTTAAGCTAAAACAAAAGCTCTTAGTATGCTTTTTGATGCTCTCTCGAATTCTGTTGCAAAAATTGTAAGAAAAAGCGAAAATATCGAAGTTTTGCTCAATCAAATCCCCCCGCACAGTTTTTCCCCCGCTCGAAATAGAACAGTACCTTCAAAACTTCCAAGTCCGTCACGTACGCTTTGAAGGTTCCACAATTTCGTTCCGACAGCCAGCGCTTCAGGTTTGTCGACCAAGCCCGAACATGGATGTTAACGTTCTTGTACGGTCCGTTGGCAGGTTTATGGAATTGCAGGACTTCTAGTATATCACCTTCTCCCCCTTCTTGATATTCCACCCACAACGTTTCAGCCCTAGGGGCTGGATGTGTCAAACGCTTGCAGACAACCTCAAATTTTTCGAGGGTCGCGTTGGCGAATAACAATTTGAAGGTACGTTCCGAAACCGACAGCCGGTATCGGAACCGCATCACGTTCGGCGGCTTCGAAATGCGAAAGCCCGTAATATGTTGATGGAAAGTACCCGGCCAGTATTTGCCGGGCCATTTTTCAATGTTGTTCCAGTGGGTGCGACAGCTTCTCGCGAAGAAGTACAGGGTTTTGATGTCGAAATGCTTCCAAATGTTATGCAGCACTTCGGATGGTAAACTCTGGGTGTCCATTGCCTGTAAAGAAAGGTTTTAGATGGGGGGATACGGCTTGATGCGCGAAAAATTGCAAACACAAATAGGGGAATTGCTAATTGGGTGAGGCTTTACTTTACCGCCCCCCACAGCCGAAGGGTCTCAAAGTTTTCGGTATGTTCGCTTAGTTTGTCGGGATTTTCTCAAAGCCCCTCGATAGAGCGTCGAAAAATATACCAAAATTTTTAATTTTAGCCTACAATAAGGTAAAATACAAAAGTTACAGCCAAAAGCGTCCGGCGGAGGTAAAAGTAAAGTGTAGCCGCTAATTGTAAATTAGCGCTTACCTAAAAAGTAAGTAAAAGTTAGAGGTAAGTAAATAAGTATGTAAGTATAGTACTACCTGAATGAAACTACGACAAAATAATTTTTATTTGAAATTTTTTATATCGAAACAATAAATGTTGGCAAGCTGGGATCTAAAAGTTACAGTTGTGCTAGTTTTAAAAAGTCGTTTTTTGTTAAATTGAGTTTCAATTAGGTAGTTAGCATATTGATAGGATCTGTAATTTAGATAAAGATTAATAAAATTTGATGAGGAATAGAGGTGAAACCTAGACAAAGTAAACGATTTCTCAGTCGTAATGAAGGTCATTTGCATAATCCGGCCCCGGGGCGCGCAAACGAATCAATAAACAAACTCCAAAACGCCTCTGTCCATGCCACATTATGCAAATCGTATGTATAAAATCAATATCAAAAAGTGTCTCGAAAGGATATCACGCTTTATTCAACATACAGCCAAAATAAGCCGACGATTCGTGTTGAACAAAATTACAAAAATGGGATAGTTTTAATGACATGGAAATTTAGTTAGCAATAGAAAAAACGATTAGGAAGATAAATGATGGCGTACAACTCCGCGTTTAACAAGTTTGCATCCGGATCCTCAACCGTCGGTAGGACTCGTGCGTGCCCTTTTGACTAGAGTGGATCATCTTTAAACGTTGCCCATCCGCCCTTTTTAGCCAGCAAATCTGTTCGTCGCCCCATGGGTCCTCGACGTCGTCCTTAAGGTCCCAGGCGAATCTGTCAAACCAACTGTCGTCCAGATCGTAGCATTCTTCGCACAGAATTTGCACGGCTTCAACTGTCCTCTCTTGCGCCAGCCATTCTCTCAGGAGCAGCTCGGCAAAGTATCCAACTCCCTGCGAAGCCACAAAACCCGCGACCATATACGTGGCGTTCTGATGTTTAATGGCTAGGTACTGGTTTAATGGAGCCGATGTCCGGAGCTCAAACTTGTCACAATTAGACCTCGATAGCCACCTCGACAGTCTAGGCAGTGGCGCCGTATCGTTGAGTCTAACATCTTTGTATGGACGCCCGATCGGCCTGTAGCGGCGCAATATATCGACAATGTCATCAACAAAACAATCGATATTTAGACTATCGGCCTTTATGACGAGTCGAGACAACCTTGAGCATGAGATCTCCAGCACTTCCAAAGTGGAATTGTCAAAAAGTAATTTGACGGTCCGGTCCGGCAGCCTGTGCCGAAACTCAGGGCTGAATGGTATCTTGGAGTACCTGCAGCCAAACTGGTGAATGTATAAAGTACCGTCGAAGGACTTCGGAGCATCCTCAACCAGCTTCCAACAATTCCGGCTGGTTCTGGCGAAGTGATACAGGGTCTTGAAGTCGAGAAAACTCAGGATGCCGCGTTGAATCTCTGGAGGGAAGGTGAGGAAATCCATTGCCTGGAAAAAAAACTATGTATTTTGAAAAATCAGTAAAAATCTATCGAAAAGCAGAAACGAAATTAAAAAATAACAGAAATTTATTGCGTATACGTTCTTGTGAGTGATTATCGGCCCGAAGCTAGGAAAAGATAAAATGGCGGGAGTTTCAAATATTTGAGTATCCTTTCAGATGCGCAGCGCGGAAGAGCGGCTGCGTATTAATAGACTTGATCGCAAATAAATCCATTGAAATTTGGGAAGCGCAAAAAAAAACTTAGAAAATAATGAGGGGCCACACGAACAAATTTGAATAGTGTCGTAGAGTCAAGTTATGTGTATGCTTTTTCCGCACCTTTTTATACCTCGGATTTTTTTTTGTTTTCCAAAAGAGTTTTTGCTAGTTGTCAGCTTCAAAAATTAGCAATAACCTTTTTCGCATCCAAATTCCCGGAACTTGAGCGCCCTGCCTTATCACACTGCCTTATCACGAATATAGCCTGCCACTGTTTTTGACGCGTCTTCGTGCAAAGCCTTCCTTAAATTCGATTTTCGAAATTTCTTCCATCTTTCATGGATCGCCATTGGTTAATCACTCCAATACTATTAGCCTCGCTTTATAATGCCGCTGCCACGGAAATACTGACTGAGCTTCAAGAATGCCAGGTCCTGTTTGTGGCCGATCTCTCAGAAACGGCGCCGGTATGCCACGTCGAAAATCGCTAACTCGGAATTCAGCCCACCCAAACACAAACTATACTTTCGTCGATGAACAATTTGTTTAACAGCGCGGGGGCGAACAACTTCAATTTGTCGATCGCGTTTTGGCGCTACAGTCGAGGGGGTGACTACGATGGGCCGATTCCGACCAATTTCGCCTACTCAATGAAGGATGTGTTGCTTAATTTTGCGTTTCCGGGCGGCGAGCTAAACATCGAATAGTGGGCCGGTGGTTATTGATTAGGTTTTTTTCTAGCGCGACGCAAGAACTGTCCAACTGGTCGGTGCAAGATGTGAAGATCGTGCTCTTCACCGGAAGGTTGGTGCGGTGGCCGCTCCACTACAAGACCCTGAAGATGGAACATTTTTATCGTTTAGGAAGATTGTTGGCGCTTTGCCGCATTTTAGAACATTTTTAGTGATCCCCGATATTTCCCAGCAGCCGGTCAAAATTATACGCGAAAGTCTGCCACGGTCGGTGTTGCGAGTAAGTTTTTTGCGTCTGATGATTGTGCGCCGCGTAAATTTTTAAGTTTTTTTTATGCCAGATACACGTCAACACAAAATCGAAAACAATATCGTTTGGAGCTCTAATGATTTTCCTTCCACAAAGGTCATTTTCAGTTGGTGCAGACACAAGCGACTTTGCGGAAATATCGATCCCATATATGCAGCCATTGACTATTTTGGATGCCACTTTTCAATTATGCCACAAGACGCCGGCAACCAGAATTCCAATTAGTACGCCGAGCACGTCTCCAACCACAATTACACCGATCAAAACATCAACGACGACTACAAATGCTACGAAAAGCACTGCCCCAACCACCACTGCAAGTACTACGGTCAGTACAACATCGACTACTACTCCAACTACGCCGACGAGCACTAGACCAACGACGACGCCAAGTACGACGACCACCACAACACCAACTTTGACTCCAACAACGCCGACGAGCACTAGACCAATGACAACGCCAAGTACGACGCCCACCACAACACCAACGTTGTCTCCAACAACGCCGACGAGCACTAGACCAATGACAACGCCAAGTACGACGCCCACCACAACACCAACGTTGTCTCCAACAACGCCGACGAGCACTAGACCAATGACAACGCCAAGTACGACGCCCACCACAACACCAACGTTGTCTCCAACAACGCCGACGAGCACTAGACCAATGACAACGCCAAGTACGACGCCCACCACAACACCAACGTTGTCTCCAACAACGCCGACGAGCACTAGACCAATGACAACGCCAAGTACGACGCCCACCACAACACCAACGTTGTCTCCAACAACGCCGACGAGCACTAGACCAACGACAACTAAATGGGCGCATCCTACAATTGACTCGAAGCCCATCTGCAACGTTTTGTTATGGATGGATGCCTCGTCAGAAGCGTTTGTAAGTCCGTGTGCAAAATTTGACTTCGTTAAGGGGCGCATCGAGATACGCAATTTAAGAAAAATTACCTTTAGAAGTCGATAGATGCGCAAGTCTTGCAACTCCAACATATCGCGCGGCTCGTCTACGATTACGTGCCCAGTCCTAACTTTTCCTTTGCTGGCGGCATTTATGTTTTGGGCCAGGTAACCCTTTTAATGCATGCCGGTTTGCCGTTGTCCTGATTTTTCGGGTCAGAAATATAAGCCAATTCAGGATGGTTTGGTCCAGTCGAACATGAACACGTTTTACTATGATTTCTCCTCCTTTAATCGAAGTCTGACAGCTTTGAGAAGCCAACTGGACGAGAATCATGCTACCGGCGATACCATCAAGGAGTAACGTTTTTTTAAATTGTGTTCAAATAGCTCTTTATTAATTGATTAATTTTATTTTATTTATTTATGGATTAAGTTTAATTTGATTTTATTTATTCAATGAACTGGCTATTTGGTCAGAAATTTAAAAAATTTGCTCGAGTTTTTTTCTGGGAGCTGTTGCCAATCTTCAAGAAGGGAAAGTTCAGCATTGTTTGCGAAAAAATAAGACCAATTTAGTACTATCGAACTAATCAACAAGCTCAATTTCTGGGACGACACAATGTTAATATTCTTTACCGCAAGGTATGGGTGAACAAAATTAAACGGATCGACGGGAATTTACAGCAGCAGTGATGAAATTCTTCAAGCACCAATGAACGATAAATACGAAATGACCTATGCTTGGGATGTGTACGCCTCTCCCGAAGGGCTTTCGCGGGTCGCAAACCTTATTTCATCACCGTTCTACGACGGAATGCTCGCCAGCATACGCGGATTCTGCAGTCGATTTGGAGCTCTATAAACGTTGCTGTTCTGAATCGAAAAAACCAAGTTCTGTGATAAATATAAAATAACTGCAGTTATTTCTGGACATTTCGTACGCGAAAAAGAAACGCCAATGAATTTCCGACTGTTGCATCAGTGGACGCAATTTTCTCTGCGAATCATCGGTTGGTAATCGCAATCTCTAGGGATTTAAAATAACCGAAACAATATTGCTATTAACATGTGGCCGCCGTCCAATAGTGACTGCGACGGGTCGCAAAAACCCTACTGGTCTTGCATTTTCAAATCCGAGTTCCGGAAATATTTGATGGTCGGCACACCAACGACTTTTCTTATCACACTGCTTAGCGGTTTACGACGATTCACTCACTGTTTTTCACGCGGCTTCAGGCAAAGGTTGCCACCAATTTGCTTTTGACACAATTTTTCGCTATGAAAATTAGCTTCTTATTACTTTTTGGAATATCCTTAACATCGAGAACGTACTAGCGGAAATACAAGAATGCAGGTTTCTCTTCGTGGCCGATCTCTAGGAAACGGCGCCGGTATGCTTTTTATTATTACAAGTTGGTCAGTTAAATCACTTTTTTGACGGTTTGCAAAGCTCAAATAGCATAATCGAATTAACATTAAAAAATGTCGGTTTTAATTATCGAACCTTTTAAATTCAACTTTTCCAGTTTAATAAATTAAGCTCAGGATTTAATCAATTTTTTAATTATCAAAACATTTAGGAAAGTCCCTGAATTCGATATAGAAATTTAAGTTGTTTTTTTGGATTTTGAAATTCCATATTGAATCACCTAGTTGATGTTTCGGGGATTTTTTTTAAGCTACGAAAATATTCAAATTCAGCCTATTCAAATCTTTTATCTAATTGGAAATCGGGGGACGAGCCGCAGTACGCAACCAGCGACACCATTAAAAAGTTTGTATCATCACACTAATTTCACAACTGTATTAGCACGATTGAATTAATTAACAGGCCGGTCTTTTTGGATAATACAATGCTGATACTCTTCTCTAATAGGTAATCGTAACAAATGCTATGTTATTCCTCTTTTCAGTCCGCAAAGCGAAGTAGATGCTGCGCCAAATAACACCCGCCTGACGATGACCTATGCATTCACTTTCGAGGAAAATACGAATCTATCGAGGGTGGCAAACCCTATCCAGTCACCTATTTTGAAAGGGATTACGAATAGCATCGCCGATTTTTGTGGCAGATTTGTATGATCTGCCTCGGTAAGTAATCTTTCATCTTAAGAGCTAAGAGCTTAAGAGCGCTTTAAATCAACATTTTATACCTTTTATGTATAAGCGACAGAAAAACCTTTATTGAGAAACTCCCAGAATGGATGACTCTGGATCCGAACCATCACTAAAAATAAAGTATCTATGATTTCTTTAATAAGTCGTTAATTCGACGGAGCACATGCCAAAGCGTAAGCGTTAAAGCGTATGGCCAAGCCTAAACCTAAGCCTAGCTTAAGCTCAAACCAAAGCCTTGGCTAGGTCTACGCCGAAGCCCAAGCTCAAGTGCAAGATCCAATCCTTACCCTTATCCCAACTTACTCTAGATACCTTTGCAGATGACTCTTGCCACACCACATCCCAGGGCTACGTGCCAACCCCATATCCGTCCACACCCTTATCAAGGAGTAGCCGTGGCCTACTTTTTCTAGGGTCCACATACAAAGATCTATCCTTTTCTGCAAAAAAAAGCAGGCCCTCGGGTTGACCCTATCAGCTGACCATCCGGATCATTTGGATGCACAACACAGGGTCAGGAGAAAGAGTGAGCGAGAGAGAGTGAGAGAGAAAGAGATAGAGAGAGCGAGAGAGAGCGAGGGAGAGAGAGCTAGGTTAGAGAGTCAGGGACATCACGAGCAAAAATCAGAGATAAAAAACCCTCTATTCATCCTCTTTTGCGGTCGATTAAGTTGGCCAAGGCCAAGGCATTCCCTCTACATTCAGAAAAGGTCGCCGAAATGCGATCAGTCGGAAAAACGGGAAAAAAACGTTGGACAACGGATTGTCGCCAGCGGTGCCAGGCAGCGGTTTTCTGGGCGGTGGTGTATAAATATCTGGAGAGGTCGAGGAGGTAAGACAAATGGAACCTTAGGTTTTCTGTTTTTAAGTTGGTTTCGTTAGAAATGGTCGATCCACATAGGAACGTTTCTGAAGCCGGAAACTTAAGAAACTCGGTTGATTTGAAAAACGACTACAACCACCTATGTAAAATTACGCACAATCTTATTGGCAAGAAAACAGTTTATAAATCAATTAGCATAAAAGCTGACATTGTTGCAGATAGACTCTCTCGCTCTCTCTCTCTCTCCCTCTCGCCCTCTCGCTCTCCGTTTCTCTCACTCTCTCGCACGCTCTCTGTTTCTCTCACTCGCTCTCTCCCTGGTGCTCTCTCTCTCTCGCTCTCTTTCTCTCAGACCTACTATTTCGATTAACGGTGACTACGTTCCCTTCACTATACCTTTAGAAGAATCTTTAACATCCAGACACCCCCCAAAGACCCGCCGGACTATTTAGGCTAATTTAAAATCGTGGGTTACAAGATCCACGGCAATCTCCTCAATTTTCCACGTCAGCCGACCTTCATTTTTTACAATTTTTGTCTGGAATCGAGCGGAAAATGGTTTTTGCGCTAACCACAAAATCACACAGCTCGAAAACGAGCAACAAGCCGAGAAACGAGTAAAACAAGGATCAAACCCGGTGAATTTCCCCCACGAGATTTCTCTCATTTTTTTAGACAGTCTGCAGCTGGGCGAGCTCTAGTCTGCTATCTGCTAGACTAGTTCGCAGAAAGGCGACGCTCACGGATTTTCCTTTCCCTTCTCGGCTTTCTTTCTTTCTCGCTTTTCATCCGCCTGAAAGTTGACCGGCCACCCACCCAGCCAAATGCCAATGATCCTCTTGTTGTCGTGAGTTTTTTGTGGTCGGGGGTCACGTTGTTTACGGCCAACAACCAACGACGATTCTGCGTTTTTTGGGCACGCGCACCCGCAAAATATCCAGAGCTTGTTTTGGCGATCTATCAAGTTGGAGGAGGAGGAGTCAGAGCGTGCGCGTGATTTCCGGAAAATTTAGATGTTTTGGAGGGCACGTACTTATTGGATGTACATTTTTGACTGGGCTTTCGGTGCCTCGTACTCACACTTTGAGATCGAGATCAAGGTTTTTTGAGGATTTTAGCGCTTCTGATTGCATACGGTGGCGTACCTTTTTTACTCCCACCATAATTTGGGTCCCTAAAATTTCGTTTAAGGAACGGGCAAACAATTACTCGCAATTTTGTTGGCTTTGGATTCCGAGCAGATGCGGTCACGCTCGCGACACGCAACGCACCCGGGGTTTGTATGATGTAACGGATGACGATTTTGTCACGTCTGAAAGCGATATGCGTTGCGTGTCGCGGAAAAACCTAATTGGAATCGATAGACAACAAAATCTATAGACAACCGGGTCTTTACAGTCACTTTAAAAGAGTTAGTAGGATAGAAATAGATGGCTTCCGTCTCTGAAAGCCTGCAGCATTGCGCGTTCTTAATTTGAGGTTTTTCACGTCTCACCACCTGTAATTCGACACCAACGAATCCTTAAGGTTTTTCTACTTTAAGTTTTCAATACCACCTGACTCTATCAATTAAGCAAATTATACTTAATCGCATCGTCATTAACCAAAAAAAATGTATTGACCATCTTCCTGTAATTCTCTGGGTTTGCAGGTATTAATCTAGTCATGTTTTTAAACTTGACAGCTTGGCTTTCTTTGATTTCTGTTTTGAGTCTGTTTCGATCCACCTGATTTTCCGAAATCGTGTTTCGGATCTCCACGTTACCGAAAACTTTTCAGAGAGTCGATCCGTGCTCGCTAGTTTTTTGAACGCTATCTTACTCTCGCTTTTCCGAAAACTACGTTTTCTCATTTTTTTGCCTGCTTTCCGCTAGCTTTTTCCCCGCTAAAACCGCCTCCTCCCGGCGTCCGGATTAGCCAAGAGAAAAATGAGATCATTCTATTTTCCTATTTTCCTGATTTAGATCTTTTCGGGATCCTGGCATCAACAATTTCGTTATTTTCGATTCAGGCTTCGGGATGCTGGGTGACCCAAAAGATTGCAATTCCCACCAGGTCACCCCAAAAAAAAGGGCTGAAAGGGAATCGCGGTTTTTGGGGTTGAAAAGGGGCGGAGTTTGCGGTTAGAGAGAGAGAGAGAGAGAGAGAGAGAGAGAGAAAGGTTGGGAAAACGGAAAATAGGTCCCGGCGAGAGTTTGACAACCTCCTGGCCTACACCCAGATATTTAATGGGCAGTCGGTCAAGGCTTCACGATCAGTACCGCCGGGCCACTGGAAAATGGCCGTCTACCCGGGTTTCGCTTTCTATCTCTTGTAATCTCGATTCACTCCTTTTCTTCTAGAGTTTTTGCTAGGTTTCCAGATACTGTAGGAAAATGGGTGCTGTGAAGACGTCTGCGTTAGAATTACGACGTTATTTTTTCAATTTTTCGATCTGATTTTTGAGACCCATGTTATAAAATAGCCCGTAAATAAGCTAGATGATATTAACCGATGTTGAACTATCTCTGAAAAATCATAACAGTTATTTTTTAACGCTAACGGTTACAACCTTTAAATTCTATTTTGCTGGTTTTGGAAGAAAAAACCGCTTGAAAAAGTAGTTCTTTTTCCTTTGCTGCTTCGAGGTTCTGCGAAACCCGCTTTTCAAACAGTTAATGTACAGTACTTAGTAAGTAATTGGTACTTTTTTATCGGTCTCGGGTTGAAGATGGTTTTGACTTACAAGGAGTCCTTTTTTTGAGACATCTGCAAAACCTTACGAGACCTAGCTCATTCGATAGAGAATTCGATTCTGAACAAAACCCCGTTGTTCTTTTTTGCAGAATGGCTATCCCTGATTTTATAAAATTAAAACACTAGTGATCGTCTCTTACCATGGGTGCCTTTCGAGCCAAAAGAGAGGCTTTTGGGCGCAGTTTTAAAATTTTATAAAATCAGGGATAGCCATTCTGCACAAAAGAACAACGGGGTTTTGTTCAGAATCGGATTCTCTATCGAATGAGCTAGGCCTCGTAAGGTTTTGCAGATGACTAAAAAAAAGCACTCCTCGTTAGGTTGGGCTTTCTTCGGTATTTTTTCAAAATTACCATACTATCATCTCGATTCCGCTTTACCACGCAATTGCACTGGAGTTGACGCGTCACTACCGTCTTTTTCTTTCCTCTTTACAACCCACTTCCTCTTCCTTCTTTCATTCCTCCTCTCTATTTCGTTGCCTTCCTTCCATTCGACAAGTCGGCCAGATCGGCCGATAAAATTTCATCACGATTCATCTGCGGCCTGGCCAACCAGTTGCCCCTCCCCCGGCTCTTTTCTTTCCTTCCTTCTTTCTCTTTCTCCCAAAATTGCCTTGCCGCCATTTTTTGGGATGTTAGGCCTAAAGTTCGTAAGATTTCGTTTACCGTAATTTTTCTTGCCGCTTTATAAAACTCGGCAAGCAAATTGGTCCTTATAAAGGTTTCTTTTTCGTATCCTAAAAATTGGCGTTTTGTCCTTTTGATTCCGTTCTTTATATTTTAGATAACGCTTAATAATCATATGTTATAGCTGAAAATGGAGCGTAACGATCGCATCAACCCGGTTGACAACATTTCCGAAAGGCTCCGCGCTACACTTGCCGAACAGGAAAAGGTTAGTTTTTATGGAAATGGCGCTGGCTTGGGTCGAGGGTGACAGATGGAAACTAGAGGATGGAGTAGAGAGAGAGAGAGAGAGAGAGAGCGAGAGAGAGAGAGAGCGACAGCTTCTTAACCTCTATCTTCTAGGCAGTCAACATCGCCTCCACCGCCACCGGCGTCATCATCTCCCTGTGCTTCTTCGTCCTCCCCCTCGTTTGGTCGAACTGTCTCCGCATTCTGCCGATCCAGAATTCCCCGCCCGGAGCCGGAGACCCCTGGAGCGAGTTCACCGAGCTGTAGACGATCGACTGCAATACGCCACGCTCCAATTGACACATCGACATCTCAACTCCCAAGGGACATACTACGGTAGCTGAATTCTAGTCACAATCTCCCAAATCGTTGCAATCCAATTCCGAAATCCCAGTTCAATCCAAATTCCATGAATCGCTAACGGTTGCTTGTTGTTATTTGCTTGTTTTTGTCTTTTTTGGAGGATTTGAGGTTGTAGTTTGTTTGTAGCCATGAGCTGATTCCATTTTGAGACCATATTTTTTCATTTTTTGTCCCAAATCTGCCTCTTTTTCTTATCGACATCTTTCCAATTTCTGGCGCTCCCCATTGCGCGTCATCCTTTTTCCGGCGCGCCATTTTTTTCGTATCCCCCCGGGCACGTGGAAGGTCGCGCTGGTCGAGAAGGACGAAGACGAACCGTGTCAAATGACCGTTCGCCACAAACCGGTTCCACCCGCCCGTCAGTTGGCGCGTTTCGGAAAACGTTTTGTTTTCGTCCAACTTGTGTGCGCGAGACGCGGTGGCGTGGACACTGACCGTTCCGCTAAGAGTTTTTTGCTCTCTCTCGCTCTCTTTGTCGCTCTGTATCTCTCTCTCTCTCTCTCTCACTCTTTCTCTCTCTGTCTCTCTCTCTCTCTCTCTTTCTCTTTCTCTTCCTCTTTCTCGCATCGAACACACTTGCAGGATGATGTACTTATTTGACGAGTCAATTGCCTCTCCTCGGGTGATATGGTGTCTGGTGAATTAATAAAAATATTAAGGCATTTGGAAGTCCGAAAAACACACACGGAGATGGCGAATTGAGAGTGATATGACTTGACGTCATCAAGGTTATCCTTCCCATGTTTTAAAAAAGTTTGGAAGTCCAAAGAAGCTGGAAAGAACAGATTTTGGGACAGTGCCGGTAGTTTTTCTGAAAGAGTTCTTGTAGCCTGCAAAACGGGGGATGTGAAAGCCCAAATCGTACTCATCTCTGTAGAACGATTAAAGAGGCCAACACGTCAACTAAGACTAGAAACTACAAGTTTTGGAAGGATAGAAGAGGTGCAGGAGGGTGAGAGCTAGTTGAGTTGCATTTCTTTGTATGGTCGGTCCTTAAACCGCGCCACGAAGTTAACAACTCCAGCTGTATTTTGGTGCCTTGGGCAAGATAAAACTGCCTGTGGGAAGTGCTTGCAGCTTGTCACATCTGTATTGTAAATATGCGTACCACAAAAAAAACAGAATCTTTTCTATATTCAATACAACCACACGTTTCGTTTTCTCGTCGGTCCATGGTACTTCTTCCATAGGATATCGAATCTGGAAGGCGCTTTTGAAATTCGCTGCTTCATTTTGGACCGATATGTAAATGGCCGGTCACGGGCTGCACTCACCTCATCAAAGGCTGCTTCAACATCTCACCGCTGATATTTTTTGCGCCTTCCGCTTTTTTTGCTCGACCGTAATTGGGCAGGGTTCCTCGTTGCCGGAGATATTCTGGAAAAAATTGCATAAAACCAAAAATTTGTATGAAACAGCTAAAACTAGCTAAAGCCACGTTAACATTGTACCGATTTTGGGGAACCGGAAGCCTTGAATCGTACGAGCCACAATATTTAAGAAGTCTTTAAGGCAGCAAAATTTATGTAAAGTCCGTTTTAATTATGGCAGGTTTGATGGAATTTGTAGACAACTGCAAGGAAAAATTTTAGCTGTCCCTGTGCCATTAAACTTCGAAAAATACGTAACTTAAGGGCTGGAATTTTTGAAATATTATATCGTCATTAATGCGTCATGATACCCGAAAAGGCATTGAAAGAGTATGTTGATGGTTTTATTGATCTCGCTGTTCAGATATCTTTTTTTTCTGAAACTGCACCGTTAAACCCAAAATTTACGTTTTTGCAAAACAGCTTTGCATGTTTATCTTATTTTGTTTGACTGCCACACTGTTCTGCTTATCGTACTCCCTTAAAAACGCTTCAAACCCAAAAAGCCAAATATTTGATATTGATATTTCAGGCGTGTACGGGTACTTGCCAAGCAACAGCCGCAACTGGTACCGGATCGAGGAATCTTTTTGGAATTTTTTAAACGGAATAAAGCGCTTACCTCTTACCCGCTCGTTGAGCGTCGTCAACGCCAATGCATTGGGGTGGGGCCGGATGAAAAGATTGCCGTCGACCATCAAATATAGGAGGAACAGAGCGAATACCTCCCGCATACCTGGAATATGGCATAATTTGGGGAATTTTGAGTCGTGCACGAGAGTTAATAGGGTACTTTCGAGGGGGAGACGAAAACGCAGGGCTGTAGTGGGTTTGGTATCGTACTACTGCGCACTTTCGAAAGTTTTACGAATGTTTTATTAGGGGGCTTTTTGGGAAAACCTAGCTGCCACCATCTCTTTAAAGCCTAAATCCAAAATCAGCCATTGATTGCCTTATTTGTGGAATTAAAGAGATCGTGCAAACAAGCCATGTTCCGTTTGCTAGTCTCAACCCTCAAAATTAATAAAAACTTCAAATATTTAGTTCTTTAAGACGGGAGCTTAAGAAGTATGCAAATTACTAGCATGTGTCGAAGCAGTAGATCTTTTGGCTCTGCAGCCGCCTAAGTTTAAGGAATTTTTTCTGGTATACCAAGGCGCCGTAATTTCGTAATTCTTGAGTGCAAGAAAGTACAGTAATCCAGAAAAAACATCGACCGGACGGGCTCGCAAAACAAAAATAAAATAACAACAAAACCAACTAAATCCCCCTAAATCCCCCTTAGTCTTTAAGAGGAAAAAAGATAAATTAAGCTCAAGAGTGTTAGGTGAAGCTTTATCCAGCATCTCAAATCAATTATGAATTTTAGTATTTTTCGTCCATGTCCCTTTAAGATAAGTCAGCAATCAAAATCGACCCTTTGCAAGCTCAAAACTCGACTGTCTACAAAAATAGTCAAAAACCGGGAAATGACGAATGGCTCCAGATCAACTCGGGTCGAGTATATGTAGTCCTCATTCCAGTGGGTGGATGATATAGTGTGAGTTGGATGCAATGTATGTGGGTGTTGCTCCATCTCTCTCTCTCTCTCTCTCTCTCTCTCTCTCTCTCTCTCTTCTCTGCTTCTGTGTGTTGAGTATGTATGGGTACTGGGAAATTGGGTGGATCAAGGGCAAGAAGAAGGCTACTACTTCTTTTCTTTTCCCCATACCGGGTCTTCTGGGGTCTTTCCACAGTAGAGGGCCCAGGGCCAAGGGGCCCACTAGGGCCCAAATGGACTAATTATCTATCCCTCCCAGCACCCATCCCGACCAAAATGTCATCCCACACAAATTCCTTACTCCAGCACTCGCCACTTTTAGCATATGTGGTGTCTCCGTGCGAAACTAAAAGTCGTTTGAGGAAATGCAAACGTGTTGCGGTATTTAAGAGGGCGTGGAACGGCTGAAAAAAATGAAGATTTTGGGTTGGAGACTACAGTAAGCTTCCAGAAATTCCGGGGTAAGATAAATTACGGTAGGTATTCCGTAGCAATTCGGGATTTTACCTTTATGTTCCACCACTTCCAGCACCTACAAAAACATCACTTAAGGTAATGGAGGCTAAATTGAATAAAAAACTACCGTCATCTCTAGTAAATTTCTTATTGGACCAAACTACAATATAACCTTGACGTTACAACGCCTCGAGGCTGTTTCCGAGGTTGGCCAAATTCAATGGAA